CTGTTGATAGACCCATGGGAGGAGATGAGTTATCGGGAGAGAGAGTCGACGGGGTGGGAGAAAAAAAAATGAGGTAAAAGTGGTTAGGCTAAAGTGATTTTGAATAAGTAAAAGTTATATTTTTTAACTTTTATTTTTGGGCTTATTTAAGTGGTAAAATGGTTTTTACTTTTTTAAAAGTACTTTTCATAAGTTAATCCAAACACTATTTTTTTTTTATGAAAGCACTTATAATAAATTAAAAGTTCAAAAAATATTTTTTTTTAAGTCAATTCAAACACACTCTAAAACACTTTTGAGAACAAATCAAAACAAGGATATTGGAAAAAAAAAAAGAAAAATGGACAACCGTTTGTAAATTGCATGGTTGATTCGTTCAAACAGGTTGTCAAATTCATGCTTTGACAAAAGAGGTTTCGTCCATGGCGTAGGTATGAGCATTTCTCACTTTCTAGGATGAACTAATCCACCATCTCTAATTTCTAATAGTTTCAAAGAGTGTGCGTGTAATTTAAATTTTTTTAACAATATTTTTGTCAAATTTTACGGATTGAGATTCTCTTCATTATTTTTTCATACGAGTTTACTCAATAGTAGATCACCAACTATGCCTTCATATGGGACACATTATTTATATATGGATTCCTCACCCATAAACTATGGGTGATTTACCATTGTGTGAACAAAAAATAATAGAGAAGATCTAGATCCAGATTTTACCTACACACCAACCTAACATGACTTTACTTATAAAACCAAATTAACATACAAAATTGAAGGGGCTTAAAATTGTGCCATGTGTAAGAGACAATTAATGGACTCACATGAGCATGATGGGATAGATCACGTGGGGGAAACAATAAAATAGAAGCCAAATTGAATAGTGAAGACTGGGTTCATGAAGTCAAACCGAATCATAGAGAGCTCGATAGTAGGAGTAACAGTTTGGTTTCAATAAGGCCAAGCTCTACTTGGAGCAACCTTAAATTGAGTCATGAAATAGTGCCTACAATCAAGAGATTTAGATATAACAAACAAGTACTATCATCAGCCCATGAAGAACTAGGTAACAAGAGGAGCATTCGGGGAGATTTCAACAATTCCTAACAAGTATCCCAAATTGATAGGAGGTGTGTCACCTTATATCATCAATAATGGAAACCCTAACAAGAAGGGTGACACTATAAAAATGACCAAAGGTGCACAGTAAAAGGTACGCTCAGTAGCTGGCCGAGTAGTTGATAGACCAAATAAACACAGTAGTTGTTTAGAGTAGAAGGCGCTCTATTTGGGATTCTATAACTTACGCACTTGTCTTTAGAGGATCGAAGTTGGATGAATTTCCTGTGGTTCTTTCTATCAGCATCATCGAACCACGTTAGCAATCCAGAAGAACTGGAAGCTTGAAACTACCGGTCAAAGNGTTTGAAACTACCAGTCAAAGTGCATAGACATTTATTTCATACCCTTATTGACTTAAACATCAGAGTGTCTTCAATCGAAACACTTCAATTTTAGGTAATTTGCTCATTTTACAGAAAAAAAAACAGGGCGAAATACAGAGAATTCATATCCATTTACCAACGAACAAGATAAATACGTTTTCACCGCTCGTAGAAAAACCAACCTGATGCATATTTTCTCAATTTTGTTCAAAATCAAAAGAGTAACAAGTTGTAAAATTTTATTTCTTTATTTTTTCAAAATAAAAACATGATGCCTGTAAAAAAGATTTATTTTATATTATTTTATTATCATTTGCTATAAAATTAATCTGAAATCTATGACTCTAGATCAATTTCGATACAATATGATTTTTGTGCAATAGCCCATATCCCCCAATATGATCCCACAAAATTTTTACGACATTGAAATTTTCTTTTTAATACTGTCTTGAAAAAAAGGTATTAATGTTTAACCCTAAAAAATTATAATTTTTACCTAAAAAGTTATAAGTAAACCCAAAAAGCGAGTACACTCTAAAAATTAATATATTTCACCCAAAAAATAGAGTGGGGTTCATTTTGCCCACTAATGTCGTTTATTATTGAACAATTACACCATGTAATAAAGCTGATATGATTTAACTGTTACACTCAAAGAGATGGTATAAATATAAAAAAAAGTAATAAGTGGTACAATATTCATTTTTTTTCCTAGTATCCTAATCAAACCCATATATCTACATAGGGGTGTCAATTTTACTCATTACTACAAATTCGACACAAAATTTGAAATTGACATGAATAGTAAATATGTCAAATTAAGTTTAAATACGAATAACANTTTGAAATTGACATGAATAGTAAATATGTCAAATTAAGTTTAAATACGAATAACACGTTTAATTGATATTATATATAGAAAATAAAAATTTAACGAGTACTATATACAAAAAATAAGTCAGCTCCACAAAACTGATTAGTATTTTATACAAAAAATAAGCCTTTTTTTATAGAGAGAAAGGATCGGTATGGAAGATTAGTCCGCTTCGCAACACTGAGCTGTTCAGTTCGCTCCCCCTTATATAGTAAAGTTAAATAATTTTTTTATTAACATAAATATTAATACGAACACGACATGTACCAAATGAGCTTTTTGGTTTGTTCTCCCTATGTAGTAAAATTAAATAATTTTTTATTGATATAAATATTAATGCGAANCACGACATGTACCAAATGAGCTTTTTGGTTTGTTCTCCCTATGTAGTAAAATTAAATAATTTTTTATTGATATAAATATTAATGCGAACATAGTATGTACCAAAAGTAATATGTCAAAAAAAATCATATGACGGGCACGATTGAAACCCATATGACCAATTTCTGATAATGTATACAGTGTGGCATGTCTCCTCATGAGTTGGTTTTTTTACTTTTTCCATGGAAATTTGTGAACAAATGGCATAAACAAGAGACCCACCCACACCATTTACCACCAGAGGCACAAGTTCCCTCGCAACATGCCTTTTCTCTGCAATAATTTAGGACAGAAATTGAGGGGGAAAAGAATTCATAGCGATTATAATACAGTAGTACTACATATGCAGGTGTCATGCCAGCTGCCACTTTAATCAAGACACCAACAGTTATCAGACAAAAGTTTTTGGTTTTGTTAGAATATATACAGTCATGTTATGCTGGATCATACAATCGATGCATCTATATCCATGGGTTTGTCTTGAATAAAACATAGGAATATCACAGAGAGAGCCTTGATGTAACACTATGGAACCCGACACTTGATCGTATGGCCCACATAACAACATACTTGGCCCCTCACACTGATTTGGACCCACTAAATTTCCTTCTTGTACCATTTTATTTTTGTCTATTTCAATCACCTACCATTTATTTCAATGTGTAGGGGACCCCCTGGATTGAACCTCGCTTTTGAATCAACAGCATATAATGAACATGAAGATCCTGATTCTTCTTACACACAAGGGAGAAACAAAAACTTTCCTTCTTGGCTAATGCCTATAAAAATACTCCACTTTCAATAACTTTCAAATGTATAAGTTAAATTATTTGATCATATTATACTGGGTCATGTAATTATTTTGTATTTATTTTAAATATTAATTAATTGTAATTTATTATACTTATTTAATCATATCAGATGAACTGGTACTAATGTAAAATATTAATAAATCGCATTAAAACCCTAATCATTCTCAATTAAGTCGACCTGTGTCACCCATAAACTAAACATTGGTCCGATATACTTGCTAACTTAGTAGAATAAAAAATATTAAAATGCAACATGAACTTATATAATATTATATTATATAGCAAGAAATAAAATAAAAAAGCCNCATTGGTCCGATATACTTGCTAACTTAGTAGAATAAAAAATATTAAAATGCAACATGAACTTATATAATATTATATTATATAGCAAGAAATAAAATAAAAAAGCCAGATATTTTATTCATACAATACCAATTAAATATATATGTTGTGTTAAAATCGAGTTGTTTGTAACTACAACAGATTTATTATACATTCACAGATTGCATTATTTTTAGGCTTCCATCCATGAATAATCAATCCCATCTATTAATTTCGTATTAGTTTTAAATTACTTTGGACAATTAGAGGAATTTCTGTTTTTTTTCTCCACCGAATATTCTTATTATTTTAAGTAGGTTGAATCCAAGAACATAACAATTCACCATTAAATAATTCAGAAATTTTGAAATTTCATTCTTATGCTTATGTTTTTAGTATAGATTGCCGTGGCATGAGCTTTTGTCAATAGATTTCTAGTTAACTCCTTTTTTTATTGATCAAAAATCTTTTTTTAAGTTGAATTTTTTTTCGACAAACCAATCGTAACACATTTGACACTTAGGCTATACCCCACATTTGTTTTTGAAGTCATTTTTTGAATAGTCCGATAGTAGCTATCTAATTTATCAGGCAACAAGAGCTAAGTGAAATTATATTAGAAGGTGATTTTTTTAGAGTTATGAAGTTTATCTAGAATTGGAGGTTGAGTTAGACCCTCTAAGTACCATTATACATGATACCTAGAGTGAAGTGAAATGGTTTCAAATGTTTGCGGTGTCTACAATTTGTTGTATTAGAAATCATGTACTCTTTAAGTTTAACTTGTTATTTGTTTTTGAGTAAATAATAACGTTGTTTAGTAAGAGTAAACATCTGATTTTATTAAATCTCACTTCCTTTCCGATATTCTTGATTAATAAGAATTTTTATAATTTCTATATTTTATCAAAAAAAAAAAAATCAGAAATTTTGAATTTTTATTCTTATGTGTTGGAATATATTTGATTATTACATTACAAAATATTTGAGCTGTTATTTTAATTTTAATTTATAGTAATTTTAATTTACAATATAATCCCCTCCCGCCTTCGTTGTGGCGATAGCTCATTCCCATTCATTGATCTAGTCTCTAACATAAACTATTAGGCCTTCTCTCTTTCTCTCTCTCTCTCACTCTCACTCACTCATGGCGTCCTCGGCTGACCAGCAACACCGCCTTCCGACACCGTACTGCACTACCTCAGCGCCGCCACCAACCCCGTCAGCACAACCCAACCACTCCACTTCGGAAGCCGCCGACGCTCTCTCTCGTCTCCTCCACCGCCTCCCGCCCACTCTATCCCTCTCCCTCCCTTCTCGTCGCTCATCCCCACCCACCACCATCACCACTCCACCTACCATCTATCTCTCCGACCCAATCCCCGCTCTCCACACCAACCTCCTTTCCGCTTCCCAACTCGGCTTTTTCCAACTCACCCACCACTCAATCCCCTCCCATCTCGCCCACTCAGCTGAGTCCGAATCGCTCTCTCTCTTCAACCTCCCTCACGACCGTAAACAACAGTATTTCACCAAGAACTGGCCGCTCGGCTTTGATTTCGACGACGAAGATGATGAAAGCGGGTCAGGTGAATCGTTCTGTCTTGACTCGTCTTGTTCTACTGAGTCAACCGAGTTGAACTTGACCTCTCTGCGTAAGTTTACTCTTGAAATGGAGAAGGTAGGCTTGGAGGTGATAGAAGCGCTATCGTGCGCTATTGGGTTTGAGAACCCGGTCCGGGAGGACCCCACTCGGGTCTCTTCTTTGATGTGGATATCGGAGGGCTCCACCGGTAATAATAAACCAGGTCCAGTGGTTTCCGGTAGGTTTTACCCGTATGTTGTCGGGTTACATTACCAAATCAGGTGCCAGAAGTATTCCATGTTGGCGGATTCGGGTTGGGTTTGTGTCTCGCCCCAGGTGGATTCCGTATTGGTCACTCTCGGAGACATTGCTCAGGTACAGTTTAAGTTATAATATTACTTTTTTAATTTGATAGTGAAATTTAAGGATTTTTCACACTTTGTGTCTTAAAATATTTTATGTTTCTCACTTTATATCTTTAAAAATTAAATTTTTTATATTGCAACTTCAATATATCAAAAGTGTTGTAATATGATATTTCTGTTTTCTTCTGTTATTTTTTTTTATCAAAAGTTATTCTGTACACATCGATGAAAAAATTAACGAAAAACTAACATAATAGTCATACTATAACACTTTTGATGATATATTCAACATGCAAAGTGCAATTTATCCGAAATCTTTCAAAGGCATAAAATGCAATTCACCCTAAATTTATACCCCATTTTGCTTCACTTGAGTTTCAAGGCTTTTAAGATGGGACTAATCTCATCTTACACACTGAACGATCATTTGAAATACAATGATAAAAATAAATACCATGTTAGCTGTATTCAAATGGCCGTGATAGTCGTCAAAGGGACCCCACTAAACCTAACTAATAAATTCATGATTGGGTGGTGGTGGTGTCGAAATCTAACACTTGTTATGTTTGACACGAAATATGGAGCAATAAGATAATAAGATTAATACTAAGGGAAAATAATACTAAGTTTGCCGACCGGCTTTAGCCATCACCTTATGTTGCAAGTTAGTACACATTAATATATAGTTATTGGCCATATTGGCATATTAGGCCCCATTGATTCAATTTTGGATGGCTACAACTTTTTGGTATGTTATTAATGCTATTATCTTGGCCTGTTTTACACGAGTAGTGCTGCATTGACAAAAAAAAGTGACCAATAGCATAGATAAAAATGAACGTGGTATTACTATAATAGGATAAATTTGAATTTTTGATACTTGAAAAAAGTGAAATGAATGACATTATTATGGTTAATTGCACTAGAGGTCCCCAAAGTATGAGATTTGTCTCATTTTAGTCCATTATATTCCAATTACATCATTTTGGTCAATGAAATATTGAATATGTTTTTATGTGGTCCTTTAAGCACACAATGTCTAGATTACTAATGAATTTTGATTATAAATTTGTCACATGACACCTAAATATGTGCAAAAAAATAATTTAGATAACTCTTCACCAAATTTTTACACAAATTTTTGGTCAAAAAATTATTCAAATTATACAATTTTGATCATGAATTATCCAAAATTTGGTCAAAAGCTATCCATATTATATATTTTTTGTCAAGAGTTATCTAAATTTTGATCAAAAACTAGCCAAATTATTTTTTTATTCATATTTAAGTATAATTTGATAAGTTTATGATAAAAAATCGTTATAAATTTGGAATTTATATGTTTGAAGGACCACATAGAAACATAGTCAATAATTCAGGGACAAAAAATGATACAATTGAAATATTAGGGATTAAAATGAGACAAATTCCATATTTTAGGAACCTACAATGTAATTAATCCTAATAATGTTGTTGGTTTAACTTTTACAAATTAAAAATTCAAATTTATTTTATTATAGGAGTAGTACCATATCATTTTTTTCTATATTATAATACATTATTTAGTCTCTGTTTTTTGTTAGTCTAGCATTACTCGTTTTATACATGATCTCTCTAAAAACGTATAAGTAAGTTATTATCATTATTTTTCCCCTAAAATTTGTTAGGAATGTTTATATGGGATCATCAGCCAAAATTTGTGTTTTGTTGGAAGGATATGGAGGGTCATGGCTTAATGTTAATTTTTAAAATTCATAGCCTACTTGTAATTGTGATGGCCATCATGGACCTACCCCTTAACATAAAAAAAGGTAAATTATATTTTGGTTTCCTCAATTATGATTTTGTTCTCACATTATCCCCTCAACTATTATTTTTTTTATATTGTATGTTCAACTATTTAGTTAGTTTCACATTACCCCAATTGTTAACGTCCGTTACATTTAATGGAATATTATTTTATTTTGTCCCTCATACTTTTCACTTTGCATTGATCCATCCATAACTTGTGTCTAAAAAAATAGCAAACATTTGTAAGTGGGGCAATATGAATTGGAAGCTACCTTAACGGAATACTAGGGCTCACACGTTACTCGTGGGCAATTTTGGAAAGGATATTTCTGCTATAACATAGTCCTCAAGAGTTTACTATGTAATTTTGCAAAATGTGTATGCTAGTGCTATACATATACTCAGTAGAGATGGATTTTCTGTTACAAATTACAAATGAAATAAGTTCTTATATTCATGTTGAAATATTAGGGGATGTTCGTGTAATTAGGGAATGAGAATTGTAACCGAGGATACAAGGGTTCAATTAGTGTTAGTTGACATTGCAATTGAAAGTTATATAGTACATGTTAATGGTTGCAGGTGTGGAGCAATGGAAAGTTAAGGAAGGTGAGAGGAAGACCAGCGCCAAATTTGGGGGATGGCAATCACCCACACACCATTTCTATGTCTCTGTTAATGACCCTTCCGGTGGACAGCACCGTCTCTCCCCTCCTCCTTCCCCGCGCCACTGGCAGCAACAAACAGGATGAAGCCAACAGAGAGGACAATGGCGATTGTGACAACACAATTGAAGAGAGGGTACTGTTTAATTCATTTTCTTTTGAGGATTATGCGTGGAGAGTCTACCATGAACAGATCATCCTTAAAGATCCACTTGCTAGATATCGGGTCTAGATTACGTTGTGCTTTTGTTGTCAACTAGTTATGGTGGTGACTACTTATGGTGGTGATAATGGCGTACGATCCCTCGTCAGATAGTTTTTTATTCTTTTGATTGGGAAGATTATGGTGATTTGTTGTTGTTGTTTCTTATTTTTTCCTGTGAGAAACTTGTGGGTGGCATTGGCATTGGTTCATCTGAAGCATTGGGAACAAGATTTCTGCTGTATTTATAATGAAATTTGCTATTTGGAATTTTCATTTGAGACCAAAGTCTTTGCTAATTTAGCATTCATATTTGAAACTTGGACATGGGTGCCAATGTGACATGATCAGCTTTGACAAATGATTCCATCTCACTTAAATTCCGAGATTTTGATTTGTATGCGATCGATGCATATGATGTATTGTTTACCACACACTTAATGTATCTTGGATCTTTTTGTAGTAATACTTGGAATTTTTTGGATTGCGTTTGACGATTTTTTTTAATAGAATTATCTGTTACATTAGAACCCCAAGTATCTTTCAAGTTGTGCACGCCATTAATTGCAAAAATTGATACAGAATCAATGCATATATGTGCTATCGAAATTTTAAACATGATGCCATATGGAAGACTACAAAGAGAAAGTGAAAGTTCTTAGGAGCTTACCGTAACAATTTCCATTGCGTGATGATTCTATTTTTACTCTGGTGTTATTAGTGATCGATAGAGATGAGATAATACCCTTCATTAACGAGTTTAAGAGTGTCCATTTATATAATAAAATACAAGAAAATTTAAATTGCCAAAGATATAGGGCCAGTTTAGTTTAGTTTTTTAAAATTTTTCTAAAAAAATTATTATTAAATACTGTTTTTTAAGACGGAGACCAAATAAGATGATAATTTTTGTTTTTTTTAGTGCAGATCATTTGAAAATTGATCCACAATCGATCCAACGGCTCTAAAACACTCCTTAGAAATTGAGTTCCCGCCCAACTTTACTATTTAATGCTCCAATCAAACCTAAATTCCATCCTCTTCCCCAATTTAAGCCCTAAATCCCGTCCCCCCCCCTCTCTCTCTCCCCCCGTCACACACACGTTTCTCTCTCTTAATCTACCACCGCAATAGCGAGAAAATATTAATTACAACGGTGATACCACGTGGCAAGGTGATGTGGTTTCGCCAACTAATAGTACTAAAACAAATAAGCACATAAACTCCATAAAAATCAATAATTAACTTGTCTTGTAAGAAAATAACTTCTCACCCTTCTGTCATATAAGTTCAAATGAGATTTACTTTTCTTATTTGGGGTTTTATTATTGGTAGGTAATATCATGCCATCAATGGTGACATGGTATCACTGTTGCATTCAATATATACTCAATAGCATCAGCACCACCGTGAATAGCCTGCATGCCACCGTACGTCTTCTTCAGCACCACCACGAAAGATTTCTAGAAAGAGAGAGAGAGTGTGATATTCTTCTAACAACGTCGGCCCTCTCAGGTACTTCAATTTCATCAACAAATTTTGAAAGGCAAATTAGTAGATTAAGTTGGCCGCCATTGCCAAATTACATTCACTGGTGCTGTACTTTTTCCTAATTACATTCATTCCATCTTCAATATATGTGTGTATGTGTGTGTTTTTTTCTGCCCAGTGGTGGGTTAGTGCGTTTGTGTGTGTGTGGTGAATTAATAGTTATTTATGCTAACCCTTTTTCTTTATGTTGTTTTTCATGATAGAAGTGATAAATTTTGGAGGAGGGATACAGAGATCTAAAATGAGAGAAAAGTAGGAACACATGTGAATTTATGTAGTTTGGCTTATCAAACTTACATTCCGTGATATAATGCTCGTAAACGCTTCCTCTACTATTGATCTTGTGATTACGTGAGAGTGCTGTGTATCTTGATACAAGAAAGCACCCGTGTATAGGGCTAGAATGATATACATAGTCTTCCGGTCATTATGATAACTTTTATTTTTGTTTTCAAAGTCCCTATATCATAATTAATAGTTGACATGTTTCAACGATTTTGTTCAATCAAATATGAGATTTTTCATATCTTCAACACTCTCCGTCAAGTTAGTACACCGATATGTCGAATAATTGTACAATTTAAAGTAAAGGATGAACTAATTTACACAGACTACAACAATGTCGATGTTGTCAGGACTACGACTTTTTTGAACTGACAGACAATTATGACTATTTAACTTTATAGAATTCACTCCGCTGTCCAAAAACTTGAGAAAGTGGAGCAAACATTGAACTTTTTTGTGGATAGTGTGACCTATTTCTGCTTTTAAAATTTTTTGGACTGTGTGATCCTTTCTCCAAATTTGCTAAGATTTGAAACAATTTTTGTTCGTCACCGCTTCACATTAAAGTTTTCAATATTGATATTAACCTTTGAAATTTCTTCTTAGAGTGCACTCCTATATCTCCCATCCAAATTGTGTTTGGAGTTGACCCATTATCCACTGAATGACCTATTTTGTGTCAGGTTCACTCTTAAATTAAATCCACTCTCATTGAATTCATTTTCAAATTTGACTCAAACTATTCTCAGCCCAAAATTGTAAGTCATTCCTTGCATTTGTCTTTCTCCTGTTTCGCATGGCGTTCATCAATGTGCATGATGTTTATTTCGTGCATCTCGAATTAATGTCTTACACAATGTTTGTTCTGTACACATTTCCTCTGTTTTGTCATTCAAAAGAGTTTTCTAAGGTGTCATTCCGTACAATAAATCGTTATAATTATCGGCAGTCTTAGAAGATCACAGTGCTAATAATATCAACAACGCTGTAATTTGTGTAATAATTTCATTTTTTAGTTCAAGTTGGACACTTGGCTCCATACGTACGTACATCAATTTGAGTGAATGTGATGCAGATATGAAAATCCCGTGATTAACGAGATAATTATGGTTGGTAGACTTTGAAGAATATGACAACAATCACAAATTATGATGGAAAAATTTTACGTACTAGTCGCACCTTATGAATATGGGTGCTCAATGATCTCTTTTGTATTAACACGCAATTACAATGTAATCCATCAATCAATACAATGGAAAACCTTATGGGCACTGTATCTATTGATGTAGGCTCGATAAGTTGAACCACGTAAATTTTTATATTTCCAGTTTTTTCCCATTTTAGATCTCTAACATCTCCCCATCCAAGTTTAACCAGGGGGGCCTATGATTCAAAGGATGGGCTTTGTCAACTATCACAAGATATTCTTTTTTTGTCGTCTCCTCTGATAGCCAGAGTTTGCCAACCTGCAGATAAACATGTTTTCTAGCCCAATTTTTGAAGCAAAAGTAAAGGATTTTTCCTTAACGTTCTTGCATTCAAATTTTCCAGAATTAGTCCTGTACATATATTGGTCATAAGTTTCTAAAAGCTCCTTCCTTGAAGCTTAATGTGGGTGAAGACGCTCCTGAATACCTGTTGTCCAAGGACCCACTTCTTCAATGATTAACCATACATGGCTTAGAAGATTTGGTAAATCTAAGAGTTGCGTTGCAGATATTTCATTGGTAAAGGCGCACCCCTTTTTGCAGCTATTTGTGTTGCAGGTCCATATTTTTGGTTCCTAGGTAAAATTTCTGCACGTTTTGATAAGTGTATGATAAATGACATGCTTCACAGTGCAATTTAATTTTGGCACACTTGGCCATAAACTTGCTCACTTTTCTCTTGAATGCTCGCAGGATACTAGATTGCCAACCGTGCCATTTAGAATGTACTTTTAGTTAAACAGATGAATTGAAATTTCACACAATGAATTTGGTTATATTTGGTTTTTGGAACATCTTATATAGGGGTGTAATTTGGGCGGGTTAACTCGAATTCAACTCGAGTCCAACCCAAAAAAAACAAAACTTGGGTTAGAATTTTTAGTACTTGGGTTGGACCTGGACAAAAAAACTCTAACCTGAATTGAATTTGAGCAAGTTTCGAGTTGAACTCAATTAATAAATTGGGTTGAACCTGAATATACATAAATATATTTAATTAGGGTTAATATTTATCTTCACTCTTCAGAGTCCAGACTTTCACTTCACTTCAAGTTTTCACCTCTCTCACTCATCACTCTTCCCTCTCTAACCCCCTTTCTCTTCATCTGTTTCGTTTTTCATCTCAAATCACTTAAAAAAATCATATCTACGTTTGAAAAAATTAAATCTACACTTCAAAAAATCAACCTGATTTGCATATTCAAATTCAACTCGAACCCGTCCGAATTAAACTCAGGCAGTACTCGGGTTGAGTACCTCGAGTTGAGATAGAGTTAGAGTTAGGGTTAGGGTTTGGGTTGATAATTATATACTTAAGGTTGGGTTAAGGTTAACCTCTTAACTCGCCCAAATTATACCCTTAATCATATGTATCCTTGCATTGGGATTGCCATTTATTGTTTTTGTTTTTCACCTACTTTATGCGAAGTAGAGAAATACATATTTTCATCACAGATCACGTAGGAACTATCATTCACTGATGATTTAAATATGAAAAAAAAGAGTTAAGGGTAAATGAATTGAGATCATCAGAGATTGCTATAGCACCTGAACTTTGCCTTCTGGGAGAAGCAAGATTAAGACAGCACATTTGAAGTGTTCATTTCAGCAGCACTAGGATGACAGGTGGAATTAATGGTGAAAACTAAAATCCCATTATAGCCAAACATGGTCTTTTGTTCATTCTTGGATGCGATTATTCTTCATGATGTAGGCATCAACTATTTTCTATCTATTGGAACAAGCTAGATGCAGTGGAGAAATCCATTTGAAAGTTCAGTGTGATCATCAGCTGCCTAGATACTGGCTATGTGGCTAATATTATCTAATTTGCACTTAAACACCAATATGCTTATGAGAATAAGTGTCACTGGTTAAGAAATGAGAGCACTATCAGACAAAGCCATTTGTAGCTGTGTCGTTTTTGGAGAAATTCTTTCAGTGCAATTGGTTAAACTAATGATGTGAGACAAGCAAAAAACTCATCATGGGCTTGGCTTGAAGAGTCAGAACATACATGCTGGTGATTTTTATAGAGTTATGGCCTTAGATAGAGGTTCAATTTTGGATAAAGTAATTTTACCAAACATGTAGTTGAGATTAAACATGGTTTTCCAATGAATAGGTCCTATAGCCTGTTAAAATTCGAGGGATAAGAATTGGCTTGACTTGTTTTGCAAGTTTTTTTTTTTTTTGGTCAGTCAGATTATATTTCTATTATTT